CATGTTTCATCCATGAATATTTGAAGGAACAATTTTGAAAACTACTCAATGATATAAACATCAACTCTTCGTACAAGGGCCCCCTGATAATTTTTTGAGAAAGATTAGATGGAAGGCAATAACTGTGGATGCGTGATTTGATGATGTTACCGAGAACCAAGTCTATCACAGCACCAGAAGTATCCACATATGTTTTTGTTTCGTAGATCACTTAAAATAAGTACATGATGCACCTACTTACCTAAGATTGACTTTTACAAACATTATGTTTTCTTCTTCTAATGTTAATAATGCATAACGTTATTAAGTAAACACACAAAAATCCCTTACTATGAAGATTTCTTCACAAACTTTTTCAAGCAGGCTAACTTCCAAGAAATCTACACCTCATTAAAACAAACAAAAAACGTTTTAACAAAAGATCCCAATGATTAACGAGGAGCTTAACATAATGAGTTATTATTACTCGTACCTTGTCATCATATTTGCAAAAGTTAATATTGGAATCACATTATCAAAAATGTTATCAATAGATCCAGCTTATAAGATGTGAATTCTACTGAAGTTACATAATATTACGTACCGCGTTAATTGGCGGAGATATACTATAAAATCGTATGCACATCACGAATAACCGTCATTTCCGTCGGCCATCTATCGGTTAATATTTGATCGGTCTGTAAAGTACTGCTCAGATTTAGATGAAATTACGAAGCAAGATTACTAATAGTGGGATTGTTCCAAAAACATGTAAAATCCGAAATATGATTTTCTAACGTTTTTGACGTTTTTTGATCATTTTTCAGAGTAGGCAATTTTTTTGGAAAGGCGCAATTTTCCAAAAATTATAGACATCTTTTTCTTGCAAGTCATTTTGGGGTATAGTCAGAAAATAATTATGCTCCTATTTGTAAAAAATGGGCTAAGCTGGTGATGTTGAACAATGAATGAAATTATTGAGAACTATTTTTGTATAAGTATATTCGTCTCCGTAGGTAGTAGGTATTTTTAATATTTCAAAAATTTTCTTCATATCCTACTGAGAAAGTTAGTAGTTTACTTTCCTAAGGCGTGGAAGGTCGCTGATGTCATCATGATCCCAAAGAAGGCAGGTTCAATATTCCCACAGGATTACCGTCCCATTAGTCTGGTGTCAGCTCCTTCTACGCTCGCTGAAAAGGTGATTTATCGTCACCTTGAGAATTTCTCGTCAGATCACCATGTGATTCCTGACGTGCAATTCGGCTTTTGGTCTGAGCATAGTACGGAGCTACTAGCCGTTAGACTGGTGGAGCATGTAACCAGGGGGTTCACCCTGAACAAAAGTACTGGTATCAAGGTGTGGCACATGGGGCTCTTGTATAAGGTCATCCAAAAGGGTTTTCCATTTTGGCTACTAAAACTGTTGAAATCTTATCTAGAAGGAAGGAAGTTTCGGATCAAAATTAACAATGTGTTGTCAACAACACGGCCCGTAAGAGCCGGTGTTACTCAAGGTTCGGTCTTAGGACCAATCCTTTCTTCACTTTATATACATGACGTCCCTTGACCCAGCAACTGTGAAGGCTATCTCTATGCTGACGACACTGCATTGCTAGCCCAGTCTTGTTCTGGTAACCTGGTTCACGACAGGGTGCAGAGTGCGGTGGAGAAAGTATTGAAGTGGGCGGATCGGTGGTTGATCAAAATTAATACTTCGAAAACGCAGGCAATCTATTGTACTAAAAAACGTCACGGTGTCCCATCAGAGATATCAGTGAATAGAACTCATATACCATGGGAGCAATCTGTCAGGTATCTTGGAGTCATCATTGACAAAGGGTTGACCTGGCAGAAACATACTGATATTTTGACTGTAAGTCCTGCAAAACAGAACCCTGCGCACAATTACTAACGCCCCTTAGTACGTGTCAAATGAGACCATTCACAGAGATCTTGATATCCTATATCTAAGAGATCATCTAAAACAACAGGCGCAGCGGCGTTATAATCAAGCGGAATCGCACAGCAACCCTCTGTTGCGTGATTCATTAGACTACACAGTCGAGCAAGTTCGTAAACATTCCAGGCCGCGCCTCGCACTGTGATCAAAATTAAATTGTAAATTCAGACCAGCCAAAATTATTTCAGTATACAAAACCGATCAAAATTATTTTTTGGAGTTACACAATAATTCGAGTAGACAAAGCAATAATTCTTAAGCTATTTTGAATGATTTACTTCTTTTCTTTACTCTATTTCTTCCATCCTTTCTTTCCTTCTTTCCCCTTTCCCCTTAAACATGTTTGGTATCTGGGTAGCCAGACCTGACAGACTAACAGACCGACGAGACTTTTAACTAAGAACAAAGCTCCACCGGACCGCCCTGACGAATAGTAGTTAGTAGTTGTACCAATTGACAGTGCAGAAAAAATACCGATAACCATTAGCTATTAACATTATTAACAACACTGTAGAGTATAAATTATATGGCCTCCAAAGACTAGTGCTAGTCATTCCATAATAGTGATAATTTTTGTACTCTGAAGAGGTTTGAGATTTTATAACTAAATCGATATGCGTAACTGATATGTGTTGATGTAACTGTATAACGTATAGATGTGTTAGATGCTTTGTTATTCTTTCAGTTTGGTTTGAACTCAAAAATAATATTTCAGTATATCATCTGCCAAAGACACTGACAGCGTCAGGCGTCGGCGATTGCCAACTGCCTCGCGTCTAAGAAGGCCTTGCAAGAAAGTTATAGAAATATCCTATTTTTTGGTTCAAACAACATGGGATCCAAACCCATCAACTTGGAAAAAAAACATCGTGGAGATAAACATCGACCTATCGATAAATCTGGTTTTTTTTTCAGTTTTGTAGAAGAAATGAGCTTAATGAATTAATAGATAAGTAGCTATTGGCCAGCGACTGTCAATTTCGTTACCCTTCTGTGGTTAAAAGGGCGTGGTTAAAAACTATACATTTTTTCAGAAGAGAAGAGTTTTGTGCATCAGCATTTAGTTTTCGATTTTTTGGACTCGTTTGATCCAACATTTAGTTCCTCCTCTTTTTAAACCACAAATCCAAACCATCACCATCCAAGGTAACAAAATCAAACATAAGCAGAAACCACAAAACAGCAAAGAAAGTTTAATGTGATATGAAAATGTCAAAGCAAAAACGGCCATAAGAATATAGCATAGAAGCGCTCTTAGATCAAACTACCTATATTGAATTGAGAGCCGTGACTATGATACGCATTGTTTATAAACCTCTACAATATATTCCTTTGAACTGAGATCAATTCCTTAGTTGTAAGTACTCTATTTGAAACATTGGTATCTGTGTCAATGTCATAATTTCAAGAAAATATGAATTTTTGAAATCTATATCATGCATTGTAATAACTTAGGCACAAAATACTTCGGAAAAGTGAAAACAGCGGCACACAGCCTTTCGAACTATATGAAGAGCTCCAGCTTTCAAAATCCTGTTCACCAGACTCTGTTAGCGACAAAAACAACTTATCCAGTACATTTTGGAAGAAGTATGTCCAACAATCAAAATTATGATCACAGTGCCCAGTCTAAAAGAGGCTTCTCAAAGCTAAAGTTGATGAAGACCTACTTGAAAAGCATTATCAGCCCAGAGAGACTATCCGCTGTATCAATTCTTGAAACGATTCATTGAGGCTAAAAGCTCGTCTACTTTAATTTTTGTGTATTTATAAACGTATACTAATATATTAGTGCATAACTCGGCTTATTCAATTTATCGTTTTTTTTTTATTAGGAAATGGAAGGGACCTCACAAAGGTGATGTCGCCGACGTCCAAGGTATATGGTCTAGCGCCGCCATTGGCCACAGCTGTTGATATTTTAGAATAAAACGTCTGAACAGTTAATAAATAAAAAACATGATGAATTTCTTTTCTCGTAAATGTTGTAAGGAGCATTAAAGTGTAGCTCGATGGTAAAAATAAAAAACTAAGCTTTAGCCAAAACATGGCGTCGGCTAATATTAAATCCTCTCACGGACTACCAGTTTCTCAATCCTCTTTTGCCCTTTTGTAACGTAGCGACTAAGTAAAGGGCGAATTGTACCGCAAATACTTTTTTACACTCATAACACTACACTTGCATTCACAAACTCTGTTACTTTTAGCTGTCGAGCTTCTAGGAAAAGTAGGTATATCAAAGTTCCAGTATGGAACCTCTAAAGGTTTGTCAAAGGAACTCATTAGGTACCTACTTATTTAATAGATTTATTGAATATTGACATACCATAATAATATAGAAAATTTTCCAATTATAAATACTTTAGGAGTACTAGATGGTGTTTTGCTTTGACTTTGACTACATCGAAGACGATAAAGAGTTAAAAAGCTATGTCATTACCAAGACTATTGTTAAATCTTTCTCAACGAGGATGACCAGTTTCTGGTTAATTGAACCAAATAACAAACTGTTTTAGTCAAAATTCTCTTGATTATGTCACTTGTTTTCCACTTCGACACAATATAGCAACTATTAACTCATATTTAGAAAGTGAATTATCTTCAGATCTTAAATAATCAATAAAAAATGTATTTTGAAGGCCACAAACCTAAAATACTACATTACATTCTAGTGAAACATTTCGTATCTGAAGGATGTTTTTATAAGTATTTTAATCTATGCTAGAAGGTAACTCGCTCATAAAGGTGTTAAAAAGATAAACCATGTCATTATCAATGCTATTACTAAAAACCTCTTTAAACATGGAGGAGCACTATGACCAGTTTCTTGTTAATTGAACGAAATACCAACCTGTTTTTGTAAAATTCCTACTGTTAATTTTTGATTTTCCATTCCAACATAAAAAAGTAAATTAAAATAAAAACGCCCAGCCTGGAGAAAACTTTTCATAGAATTTGAGAATTTTTTATAAACAGTGTCTGAAGGCCACAAAATTCGCGCACTGCGTCATGAGCTTTGGCCAAAGAATATAGTGCAAATTTTGTCTTCTATACTCACTTTTTCCATACTGATTTCACTATTCACTATAATTTTCAACACAAAATCTCTACGATGGTCACTAATCACCAAAATCCGTGGCACATTTCGCTAGAGAGCAACTTGCACAACAAGTGTCCGCTTATGGGACAAGCAGTCGCGTCAATCTGAGTGGGAAGCACATTGCCGGATGACTGTACAATGCCAGGCCCGCGACGCCGTGCTTCGTTCTGTTGCTGGCTTTATTGTTAATTATCAACATGATATTGTTAAGTGTGATGCATGTGCTGTTTTTGGAGTTAGGGATCTCTTATGGGAATAAGCTGTCTACGAGGCTTGAATCCTAATTCAAAAACAAGGCAAGAGGCACTAACACAATAGAAAGGTGGCAAAAATTTATTGCAATTTTAGTTTCCCCGGAAATTCGACAAGTCATAAGTGTTGAGTGAAATCGTTATATTTAATTTAATAAACAAATTACCTAAATTGAGTACACTAACATATTTAAAATTAATAAACTATTAAAATAAGTTTACCTGAACCAAGTAAACCAATTTGATTATATTTATTAAATTTGTTTAATTAGTTCAGGTAAAAGTATTTGTCTAGTTTTTTAATATTGGGGATTTAAAAGAACATATTGCATTTGCACAGGGTGTTTTCAAAAGTGAGTCATTTATTTTAGCTGCTTGTAGGGTCGTCAAAAGGAGTTGATATTCCAAAAATCATTTACAGGGCGTTCCGTAATGATATACGAATATTTAAGGGTGTGAATCTACATGAAAAATTAATGTTAGTTTGCTTTATAAACTATGGTCCAAAAATTTTTCTTTACAATAACTCGGGGTGCTGAAGTTTTAGGAAAAAAATGGAAATTAATCAATATTTTCAGAATTATTTTGAGCGAAAAATGGCCCATGTTTACGAAAACAATGAACTAGTGAACATAATATCTAACATACGGAGGATGCCATCAAAATGCAGCAACAGCGCCATGGAGGTTTGTAAATTTAGTTATTAGACTTCGTGACACGGGATATTTAAAACAACAACGAGGAGGTCACGCTGGAAGACCTGCTCAACCTGAAATGTTACAAATTGAGGAAGAGATTTCAGAAATGGTCGAAGACGACCCAACAATGAGTACTGAGTACTAGAGCTATAGCAGCTCAAGTTGAAGTTTGTCATAGTAAAGTCTGGAAGACAATACGACAAGAACAGTATTATCATTATCAATGGATACAAGCATTACAACCTGAAGATCATCCTAAAAGAGTGGCTTTTAGAACAGTTCGGCAGAAAAAAAGATTTTACGAAATCAATTCTGTGTATAGATGAGGCCATGTTTCATAACAGTCATGTTTGGGCAGTAGAAAATCCACATGCTGAAAAAAGAATTTATTTTCAACATAGATTTTCTTTGAATGGTTGGGCTGGCGTGGTAAATGGCATGCTATTGGACCCTACTTTTTTCCACCTCGACTGACCGGTGAAATTTATTTAGATTTTCTTCGACACAATCTGCCACAATTATAAGAAGATGTTCATCTAAATGTGAGACAGAATATGTGGTTCTTACATGATGAGGCTCCACATTTTGGACGAGAAGTTCATGAACATCTAAATAATGAGTTTCCGAACAGCTGGATAGGGCGCAATGGACCCATTTCTTGGCCTGCTCACTCCCCGTACTTAACGCCTAGCGATTTTTTTCTGTAGGGCTATTTGAAAGAGTTTTTTGTATCATGATGAAGGAGTAAGTACTCTGGAAGAACTTCAACAGCGCACTGAAAATGCTTGTGATTTAATTCATTCGTGGAGACCACGATTTTATTTTCGAAGATTTTGCGTTAATCGAACAAATTAGAACAATTTTGAACAGTTTTAATCCTTGATAATGTAAACTAACTTTCTTATTATGCAACTTTTATATAGGTGAGTTTTGGTATATGAACCTCTTTTGACGAGTTCTACAAGCTTTAAATATAAATGACTCAACTTTGAAAATACCCAGTATCAAAAAAATTCGACAACTTGATACTGATAATTGATTTTTTCGAACCAAAGTAAAATCTTCCGAACCCTAACAAAATTCAATATTATTTATTTAATTACCAATTGAATTTGTCTGATTGTCCAGAAGTAGGTCATAATATATCACCGTCCACTAAGAAGCAATTCTTTGTTTTGATTTCAGAAAGTAAAGCGAAGGAATAACTGAAACTGAATAAGGCCACCTGATCATATCTGCAAAAAATGTACTTTTATTGCTATTAATAAAATAATATTGCACTCACACGCATTCAATGCATATACTGATATAAAGAAATTCGACATAACTCTAAACAAACATATTTTCAAATACTACAAAGTGTCCACAACAGGATGCTCTGCTTCTTATATATACATACTAAATCCATCAGAACATTAATTTAATCAAAGTAATGAATTAACGATGATACACCACTGACGCAACAGTCTTTTATCGTTGAACTAAAAGAACATCAAGAAAATGTCTATGTATAGATCCAGAATTGCTCGAGTATTTCGCTTGATCACCATAATTGGCCCACTTCACAGCTACTACACCAAAAACGGCAACATTCGAATATGAAGCTCGTAACGAAAATCACGAATGAAACTGAGGAGCTCGAAGCGCGTCACCAGCACTGCCTCTGCCGCATACTCCCGATCATTCACGAATGAAGTGCCGACTACTGCCGACTCCGCGATTCAAATAAACAGTTGTGTGTTTATTAAAATGTTTAATTGTTTTAAATGTATCTTATCTAAATAAACTCAATTATGTAAGCTTATTAAGCAGTTTAATAAAACAGATACCCGGTTCGATATTTACAATTAAAATGGTTTCATAAAAATTAGTTATTTAGAATAATTATTAAAGAATATATTACGGGTAATGAAAATTTTCTACAAATACTGTTAAATTGGCCGCGTTTTCTGAGTATACATCTAAAGCCCCGATAGTTCAATATTAGTATATATTAGTATATGAATCATCGTCGTTGATTTCCTCTTACATTTGCCCTTAAAACTTGAAAAAATATCAAACGGACGTGTCGCGTCTAAGTCGCAGTTGCCGTACGCTGCGAACTTACATCGGTGTGCACAAAATACTGTCTGCGGCTGCCTAATCTAGATGGTCGATAGTTTCAGTAAGGGCGAGGAAGAAATTTCTAGATCGCAGCGTTATCAAATGGGCGGGGACTATGGACCTCCTTTTTAGCTCACTTGATCCACTTAATTCCTTTTTTTGTCTTATGCATGTTCGTAGTTATTTTTTTCTCAAAATAATAGTCCCTTATAAACTGAAAACAGCGTTGTGTCGGAAGTGCAAGGCCAACCTACTTGATGCCATTTTTTTACTGTGTCCTAAATTGAACGTTCTGACGCAAAACGTCTGAAAATGTTTTTACAAAATGTTTACTCCCCCAGAAAAATATAGTCCATATTACCTATGTCCAAAGATCCAAACTTATACATATAATATAATTATGGAAAAACGGAATTTGAAATTTCTCGTTTATCGCTTATATATTCGACGACACTGTGCCGATTTTGAAAAACCTACAAAGCTTGTTACAGTAATAGCATCATGATACAGAGTGGGGGGAGAGGATTATTAGTTTTATGATCATTTGTATCGATTCTTAAAACCTGTAAAATGTTTTGTCCTTAATACGGTATTAATCTTTATGTCATTTTTTTCGCAATCCAAATTGCACTTTCCAAGGTATATTTGGAGACAATAAAGGATTACATGACAAACAGACAGGCCGACGGAAATAAATGACATAGTTTTTCACGATATGCATGTCATCTAACATCCAAGAACAATGTCTCGATTTCGAAAAAGCGACTGCAATTTTTATTATGTTTTTTATGTTGAGTTATCAATGTTCGCAAAAGTTGACGTTGGATTTACATTTCGCTTTGAGCTATTGGGCATAGTGCTATTGTAATTTGAGTAGCATATTTTACAGCTCATTTAATCCTATAGAAAAAATTCTGTTTAAGCTATCCACTAGCACATGCTTCTGTGAAGTTTGAGCGAAATACATCGTTCTCTTATAAGATGATATTTTCTCGTGTTATTTCAACTGCCATTGCTTCTAGATCGACAAGTATAATTTTGTTGACATAGAGAAGGTTCGATCTGATGCCACATCACTAGATGGTATAGTGTGGATAGAATGCATAAATATTTTTTGATGTTGGGATAAATTAAATTATCGCAATTTTCTAGAAGAATAAAATCCGCCCTTACTGGAAGTTGATCAATCAGCGGTTTCTGTCATATAGATGTTTTTTTGGTGCATGTCATAGTTTTACCTAGAAAGTTTTTCAGGAGTTTCGATAAGTTGGTATTCTTATTAATTTCAACATGTTCTTTAAACATTTCCGCTTTGCTACCTCGAATTTTTTCCGCGTGTGCCGACATATTGGAAAAATAACGTAAAGAAACTTTTTCCCTCACATATTCCGTATATTCATATTTTAAAGAAAAACTTTGACGCTCCCCTATCCCGAAACTGTTAATGCAAAAATGCTGAATAGGTTGTAAGACATTATCTGGAGTTTATTATACAGCTATTTTTATCGTAGTACAGGAACAACAGTTAAAAAACTGTGTTTGGGTGACGTCTTTCCAATATGGTAGTGCGAATGGAAAATATACGAGGGAGCAAAGTGAAAAATCAGAAAGAACAAATCGAAATATTTGTATCAAAATATTAAGTTTTTAGAACTTCCCTAGAGCTTTCCAGGCAAGTCTCTTTTAAAACAACAAATGTGTGCCATTGTATAAATGTTCAGAAAACGTATGAAGATATTCCCTAATCAATTTTTGAGATATCAAGTCGGAAACCTGATCCATTCACGCTGTCTGGTATATTTGGGGACTTGCTCTTGCTTAACGTAACCCCTTAGAAAGAACTCCATCGGTGTTACATCTGGTGATCTAGGAGACCAAGAAATAGGCCCATCACGACCGATCCAACGATTGTTACTACAGGTGTCTAGATAGTTACGCACACGATTATGATAATGCGCAAGTGCGCCGTCATGTTGGAAGTACATATGCATCCGAGTTTGCTGATTGACGTCCTCCAAAAGCAAAGGCAAATACTCGATCAAAAAATTCAAGCATTCTGTACCTGTTAATCTGTTGTCGAAAAAGAAAGGCCCGATAACTTGTCTGGCAATAACTCCACAAACATTCAAGCT